TTATAATAAAATATGCAAAGATTTAGAATCAGAAAACCAAAAAGGAAGAACAGTCAGCATTTCTCAAGCTGGCGGAACTGAAGAAAAAACTCAAGGCTTGATTTTAGTTTTTGAAAGATTCTCTGGGCAAATTACTGAATGATGCAGAATGCATCCAGAGAAGATGGTAGGAATACATAGAGTCATTGTACCAAAAGGAAATGGTTAATGTTCAACCAGGTCAAGAGGTACCATATGATCAAGAGCCAACGATACTCAGGGAGGAAGTCCAAAGTGCATTGAAGGAATTGTCAAAGAACAAGACACCAGGAATTGATGGAATAAAAATTGAAATCTTTCAAGAAAGTGAGGTGGCCGATGTTCAACCATTTCAAATGGTAACATATGATCAAGAAGCAACAATAATTAAGAAAGAAATCCAAAGTACTCTGGAGGAATTGCCAAAGAATAAGGTACTGGGAATTGATGGAATACAAATTGAAATCTTTCAACAACTTGATGCATCTATGCCAGAAGGCAAAACTACCTTGCCATCTCACTGGAAAGGATCCATGTTTGTGCCCGTTCCAAAGACAGGAGACCCAATGGAATGTGGAAATCTTCGGACAATATCATTAATATTGCATGCAAGTAAAATTTTGCTAAAGATAATACAAAAACGGCTGCAACCATACATTGACAGAGAAATCCCAGAGAATTAAAACTGGATTCAGAAGAGGAAATAGAGCAAGGAGTATCATGGCTAATAACATCAGATGGGTCTTGGCTGAAAACAGAGAATACCAGGAAGATGTTTACCCATACTTTATTGATTACACAAAGGCTTTCAATAGTGTGGATCATGACAAACTGAGGTTAACAATGCAGAGAATGAGCATTCTGAAAAACTTAATTATGCACATGAGAACAAAAGGCAGTTGTTCAAACATAACAAGGGAAAGGTTTGTGCCAGGGTTGTATTCTCTCAACATATTTATTCAATCTGTGTGCTGAGCAAATAACCTGAGAATTTGGATTATACAAAGAAAAATGTGACGTCAGGATTGTCGGAAGACTCATTAACAATCTGCGATATGCAGATGATACAACCTTGCTTGCTAAAAGGGAAGATGATTTAAAATACTTACTCATGAAGATCAAAGACCACAGTCTTCAGTATAGGTTGCACCTCAATGTAAAGAAAATAAAAATCCTCACCTAAACAACATCCAAATAAATGGAGAAAAGATTGAAGTTGTGAAAGACTTCATTTTGCTTGGATCAACCATCAACACTCATGGAAAGAAATCAAGAGTCAAGAAATCAAAAGACGTATTGCATTAGGCAAATCTACTGTACATGACCTCTTTAAAGTGTTCAAAAGCAAAGAGGACTAAGAAGTGCCTGATTCAAGCTATGGTATTTTCAGTAACTTCGTATGCATATGAAAGTTGGACAGTGAATAAGGAAGACCAATGAACAATTTGAGTTATGGTGTAGGAGGAGAATATAAAAAGCACCATCGACTGCCAAAAGAACAAACCAATCTGTGTTGGAAGAAGTACAGCCAGAATGCTCCTTGGAAGCCAAGATGGCCAGACTTCATCTCTCATACTTCAGACATGTTATCAAGAGGGACCTGTCCTTGAAGAAGGATATCATGTTTGGTAAAGTGGAGGGTCAGAGAAAAAGAGTATGACCCCAAACGAGATGGATTAACACTGTGGTAGCAGTAATGGGCTCAAATCTAGCAAAGACTGTGGGGTTGGTGCAGGGCCAATTAGTGTTTTGCTCTATTGTGCATTGGATTGTTATGAGTCGGTACCAACTCTGTGGCACAACAACAACAACAACAAGAAAGGTATGAATATAGAATCATAGGGAAAAAGAAGTGAAGTATCAAATTTAAGCGTCTTGATACATTGAGATATGGAACTAATTATACCAAAGACATGAAAAATTTCAAGAAACCAAATAAAGAGCCATGTTATAACTTGCTGATACCTAGATTTTAAAATACCTACATCCTTTAAAGTGATAATGTTGGGGTGTTGTCCATAGCGCATCAAAATTTCAATTTCTTCTGAGGGGTCTCTCTTACTTTTGTCAATGATCTAGGACATAAGAAAAAAATAATATGAGGAAAACAATGTATTTTCATATTGTAAAAATAACATATTTTCCAATCGTTAGAGGTGTATTTTAAAACAAATACTTGAAAACTCAAGAACGATGTTTCAAAACTTTTAACATTTAAAAATTATTCTAATACTAAACTTTAACAGATAAAAAATAATCCAAAGCACCTTTATTAAACACTGTATTCCACTTAACTAAAACCATACTTAATTGTGATCCAGATGTTACTGTAACTTTCACAACCTTCAATCTTAACATACTTCATTAAAACAAAAATGATTCAAAAGCAAAAGCATTCACAGAAGAGAGTTCTCCAAAATAAAGCTTTGGAAAGAAATTCAAGATAAAAATATTGAGTCTCATTTCTTACTCAACATTTCACATTTACTATCTCTGTTTATACTACTGAAAATGTCTTTCAGCTAATCTATAATTTCAATTACATATATAACAGAAAATTACTGAAAATGTCTTTCAGTTAACCTCCAATTTCAATTACATATATAACAGAGAAAACAACCACGAAAAAGGTAGGCTCAAATATAGTAGTACCTTAAAACAAGTGAAAATTGCTACAATTTGATGAACTTGACTGATACTTATGTATGTAGTAGCTCAAAATACCAACTGAGAGGGAAGGAGTCTTCACATCAAGTGTAAACCCTATCCCCTCTGTATACAGGGCTAATGGGGATGGGCAACTTAGGCACTGGCTACCTAAAATGGGGGGAACTATAAAGGCACAAAGTGACTGGCTTACAAGTTTTCAAGACAGAGTTTGGTTTTAGAGTGTTGGGGGGGAAGGTAGAATGCCCACTGAATAGTATTCATCTTGTCTAGATGGGTCTGGTGCAAAGATAAAAGGATAAGATTCTTATGATTCAATAGTGAGTAATTGTTATCATGACTAATTGCAATTGTCACAACTGTGAAGGTAGAAGTTTTGTAACAAAAAGGGGGGAGTAGTTAACCTTACAGTCCAGGAACAGAGAACACTAGGATCATCAAAAGAGAAGAGCACAAGCAGAATGTGGGACCCTATCCAGATAAGCAGTGACACCAGAGATGGAGACAGAGCAGAGATGGAGACAGAGATGAGGACATGGAGAAATAGAACAACCGAGGACTCTAGATTTATGGAAAGAGAAAGGCTATGTGCTGCCAGCCAGGTGCTGTTGGCCAGGAGGCAGGCTTGCAGAAAGTGCCTTTTGGTTGTTTAAATGATTATATATTCCTGAGTATTTCTGTGTACATCCCCCCCGCCAAAAAAAAAAAAAAAAAACACCCAAAAAACAGATGGAATAGAAGTATATACTATGTAATGATGATGCACGGAGGAGATTGTAATCATTGAAATGAAACCATGAGTGTAAAACCAATATTCTCCCATGTAAACTATTACTCACTTCTCAATAAGAACTTAAAAAAAGATAGTACCTTAACTGCAAATTCCATGTTGTTAGTTGTGTGTATGCATCGCTTGCAAACAGAATAGGAACCAACACCAATATCCTCTTTCATTTCATATACTTCACCAAACTGTGCAGCACTACCATTTATCTGTTTTTCAAAGAGTAAAATACTAAGGAGAATGAAATATTTCCATGATTTTAAAATCATCTCTTGTATTTATACTCAACATAGATTTAAAAATTCAATACGAACTCATTGCAGAGTAGTTTTATTGATGTCTATATGTTGTTGTTACGTGTCGTAAGTCAGTTCTGACTCATAGTGTCATTGTATAGGGCTTCCCAAGAGTGGGTGGTAGACTAAACCAGCAATTTTGCGACTGGAAATCTACAGTACCATTGTAGAATAAGCACTGGACTGCTAACCTTAACAACAGCAACAACATATGTATCTATATCTATGGGACTCCTGGTGTGGTGCTATAGGATCAGCATTGGACATGATCAACAGTTCAAACCCACCAGCTGCTCCTCGGAAAGCTTATACAGTGTTACCAAAAGTTGGTACCAATTTGATGACACTTAACAACAAAGAAAAAAACCAACAAAATCTATCTATCTATCTATCTATCTATCTATCTATCTATCTACTAAATGACTTTAGTAAATTCTGAGTCAATCTTAAATTCCAGGCTCCCTGAACTCTGTCAATGCCATAAATCAACTGGTTTATGCATAATTATGTTTTCATGTCAAAACCCTCCAAAAATAAATAATTAAAGGATACTACTATCTATTTTTTTTTCCTAAACCAGTCATCTTTCAATTACAATTGTTCCCAGAGAAAAACAAAGAAGTTAAACAGCACTTTGTAATGCTTATAAATATATGTTTTTTATCTCTTTAATCAGAGAGAAATGATCTCAAAAATGGTGTGTCCCCAAATGAATAATCAGATTAAGTGGCATTTACCTGAACAACTGGTAGTACATTTACACTTGTGATAGGAGTGATTTTATATTCTTCTGCAATGGAAGTTGCAACAAAGCTGAATCCTTTGAAGAGTTGATGAGCATTAGCACTGGCTGGCAAACTAGGAGAATCTAATGTTCAAATAGTTATGTTTTATTAAAATTACAAACAATTTGAAGACAAAACATCAATGTTTCTTTGGATGTTAATGAAACTATTAAATGTTATCATCTGACAAAATATATGTCTGATTAACGATATACTATTTGTTCCCCTATGGCTACTATCATGCACACTCCATATGGTTAGTAATTTTTACCTGTTCTGTTCGCTGTTGCATCCTCATTCCTTAGTGAATAGTAGGCATTCTATATTGAATGAATGTATGGGAACAGATACCACTAAAAGCAAAGTGCATTAAATTCGGTGTTATAACTCTAATTGTAAATCACCAAAAACTACATAAAAAGCAATCGGAACATGAAAAATAGGAAAGAAAATGCCTGATGGAAAATGCAAGTGATAGAACAATATAGAAAAACATCTCTAGTTATTCTATCACCCCAAGGTAATCCTGTACCATTTTAATTCCTCTAAACTTTAAATGAACAAATATAGGTTCACACTGCAATCTTGCTTCAGAACCTATTTTTTAGGTAAATGATATATTAAAAACCTGCTAACCTCAAGGTAAGCAGTGTGAAACTGTTAGCCATTCCGCAGGAGAAAAATGAGGCTTTCTGCTCCCATAAAGATTTACAGCCTTGGAATCCCTATTCAGGGTCACTATGAGTCAGAATCGACTCCACAGCACACCACCACAACCACAACCAATATATCATGGTTGTTTTGTTGTTGTTGTTTTTTTTTTTTTCATGTCAATAATATTCTTCTAAGGCTCCATTCTATCCTATAGTATATATATATATATATATATATATATATATATACACACACACACACCCTGAATTCTTGAATTTAAGTAAAAAATAATGAAATCAAAGCTGTTAAGAATCAGTGTGATATAACTGGGTTTCACAAAGTTCATGGGAAAAATTAATTATCTTTTAATCCCATTTTTCCATTAACATTTTGAAGAATTCTTGTGTATCTCATTTTAACTCCTACCCTTGAATGCATTAGCATGTCAAAGAAGTGACAAAACAATGATATTGTCATACTATGCCTTAGTCCCTGCTTCCATCATAGATATTACCCACTTAAAGCCTCTATGATACTGTTGCCCAACGAATGTTGTATAATGATTTAAGATCCACATGTCCACAAAGGGCAAACTAACACCCTAAGCAAATTAGAAATTATTTTTGTTTTTACCTAAAAAGCAAGGTTAATTTTTTACCAACTAATTGAATATTTTACACTTAAATATACATTACCTTTGGGTGTTTTCGCAGTAAATTCAGGATCAAAACAAAAAGTATCATCTGGTTTTCCAGAAGCAGGTTTAAAAGGAGGTTGAACTTCTCTTTTATACAATTTCTAAAAGAAGGAACAGTGTACACCAAAATATGTATTAGAGCTTTAAAAAAATATTATACTTCCTAAGTGAAAGCAGAACATGCTATTAATGGTCTCTAACAGAACACCAATAATTCCTGGTGTGGGCTGTGGGTTAATGTGCCAGACTGCAAAGCCATTTGAACTGCAAAGTCAACGGTTCAAGCTCATCAGCTGCTCCTTGGAAACCCTACACAGGGTTGCTATGGGTTAGAACCAACTCGACGACATTTAACAATTTCAACAGGCTTCAGATACTTGTTAACCAAATTTTAAAAATTTGAGAGATAATGTACAAATCAAATGAGGTCAGAAAACACAGAAATAATGCTACTGGTTGCATTTATAAGAACTACTGTTGTTGTTGTTCAGTACTGTCAAGTCGGTTCCAAGTCATATTGAACCTATATATGGTATCCAAGGAGTGGCTGGTGGGTTTAAACTGCCAATCTTGCAGTTAACATTCCAGTGCTTATCCTATAACACCACAACCAATGACGATCAATTTTAGCCACCAAAAATTGATTTTAATTCTCACTGATAATAACAAAGACTATGAGAGAAAGTTAAAAAGTAATGTTACAATGGAGGGGATTGTAACCATGGCAATGAAATGATTCATGATAGGATGAATGTAAAACTAGTGTTCTCCCATGTAAACTATCACATAATTAACAATAAAACATATAAAAAAAGTAATGCTACAATTTCATAGATAAGCTTTATTAAACAAAAATACCAAAAGGTAAAGTCACTATTTCTCAACATAACCTTCACCTACAATTATATATTTCTGAAGGCAGCAGCATTTCCATGCAATGTATATGCCATTGGTCCTATAAACTATTAGCATGCAATCTCCAGGATCTTTTCTATCACCAAGGCCATATATTTCAACTACTGCTCCTTCCTCTTTGGTTGCAGCTTTCACATCTTAATCACCAGTAATGATCAATGCATTTTGATTGCATGTTTGATCAATTTCAGACTGAAGTAGTTAGAGAATTATTCAATTTCATTATCAGTGGCTTTAGTGGATGATGATTAAATTTGAATAATAGTGGTATTAACTGGTGTTCCTTGTAGGTGTGTGGATATTATCCTGAAACTGATACCATTGTATTTAAAGACAGAGCTTGAAATGCTTTTTCAGTGATGAATGCAAAACGATTCCCATTCAGTTTGTCGTTCGTAGCATAGTAAACCATAATTGTCCATTCAAAATGGCCAATATCTGTCCACTTCAGCTGACTCATGCCTAGAATATAGATCTTTATGTGTCACATTTCATTTCTGATGACTCCCAATTTTCCTGGATTCATACATCATATGTTCGATGTTTTGATTATTATCGGACGTTATCAGCTGTTTCTTATCATTTTCAGTAGTGCCCCACCACCAAATGAAGATCTTGAAAGCTTTTTCCATTCAATTCTTTAAAATGACCTCTACTTTGAGGTGGCAGCTATTCCCCAGTGTTATTTTGATTGCTTTCCAAAACTATATTACTCAGTGTTCCTTTGATATTCATAAGGTTTTCAGTAGATAACCATTCAGAAGCAGTCAGCTTTTCTTCTTCCTAGTTTGTTTTAGTATCGAACCTCTGGTTGAAACCTGTCCATCATGGGCAACCCTGCTGATATTTTAAAAACTGGTGACATCAGAGGAACACACAAGTAATCAAAGTACAACAAACTGACAGAAATTGGTGGAAAGAAATACTCACAAATATGACATGGAGAGTCTCATTTGAAACATCTACATTGCAGGATCTTTTGGAGGACTAATATTAATAATTTATATTAAACAATGGAAAATAATTTTTAATAACAATTTTAGGTTTAGGTTTGGAGGCCCCAGTTCACTAACTAAATCATGATTTCATTTGACTTAAAGAAAAAGTTTTGGTAGACAATGTTTAGATTTTTTAATTACAAAAATTCAGTAATAGTTTCTGTCTGACTTAAATTTTACAATTAAAAAAAATCTAAATATTACCTATCAAAACTAGATCCCAAAGTCAAATAAAATAATGTTTGGTTAGAGAAATAGTGGCTTTCTAACTGTGCTATAAGTCAAAATAGAGTCTTATTCCTTTAGAAACATAACAGTGCCAGAGTTAGACAATCAAAGTGCTTAAATAAAACAACTGATAAGATATAACATATAAAAAGTTATGTTATCCCAACTAAAAAAAGTCCAGGCCCAGACGGCTTCACTGGTGAATTCTACCATTCAGGGAAGAGCTGTCACCAATACTACTCAAATGATTCCAGAATATAGAGGAGGATGGAAAACTCCCTAATACATTTTATGAAGCAAGTATAACCCTCATACAAAAACCAGGGAAGGACATGACTAAGAAAGAAAATTACAGACCAATATCCCTCATGAACATAGATGCAAAAATTCTCAACAAAAT